GAGACATCACTGATCCTCCAAACAAGGGGAATCATTGACATTTTCTGCTGTGAGATTTCTACAAGGGAGAGTATTTTCCAGGTGTCAGTCAAAGAAACATCAGGTGGCAAAAAGACCACACTCATAAGATCAAGGAGCTTTTGGCTGGGAGGGGAGAACTCCATACAGAGAGGCTCATGCTGAAGAAATTACCAGATGAAGAKGCTGAGACTCCAGGGGTTTCTTCTGTGTACCTGGAAAATAGAATAAGAAATTATGAAATGGGAGCTTAGGGGTCTCAGTAAGAAAAGTCATAAAAGAAAGAATGRGAAACAAAAAAGCAGGAAGAAAAAACAAATGAAGAAAAGTGCTAGAAAGCAAAAGAGAAATATTTAAGATGTGTAGTCTAGAGATATACACAGATGTCATGCCAGATCACAAAAGCTGGGAGAGAGCACAAAAGTGTCCCTTGGAGCCAGGTGCTATGGCACATGCCTGTAATCCCAGTGGCTTGAGAAGCTGAAGCGGGAGAATCTTGAGTTCAACGCCAGCCTTGGCAAAAAGCAGGGTGCTAAGCAAATCGGTAAGACCTGTCTCTAAATAAAATACAAAATAGGGCTGGGGATGTGGCTCAGTAAGTGCCCCTGAGTTTAATCCCTGGTACCCACCCCCCAATCCCCCAAAAAAGTGTCACTTGGAAAGAAGAAATGTGGAGAACTTGGGATTGGCGTCCAGATACAACAAATGATGAATGAGTAATTGCCACAGAACACCTTGGCAGGGAATCAAACAGAAGGGAAAGAATATCTTGATGAATGTGCTCTGTGCTAGACACTGGATTAGGCTCTTTGCATTTATTCTCATTTAATCTTCCCAGGGCTGCAACCACATGGATGATTTAGAGAACTGAAATACCTTGCCCAAAGTCTCTCAGTTGGTAAGTGGCTCAGCAGGACTTTGATCCCCATCCTCTGTGAGTACAGAGCCTGCAAATTTATGTTCTTCTTCAGAGCTCAGGAAAGAATGGAAGAGCTGATTCCATTTTGCTTGAGATCAATTTTTCATTCTAATTTCTGAGCCCTGAGGGCAAAGCAGATATTCAGTATAGGTTTGTTAGGAAAGCAATAACATAAATAAGTGTTATAGCTGCATAGTTTTCCCAGCTCAGTTCCCTGAAGATTTTTTCCAAGGTCCCCATGGGTCCTGAGCTCCGTGTTTCCACCTACTGATCCTGTCTCTGACATCTGGACAGCCATATGCTTTAATCAGGAAAAACAAGCTCACCTCTTGGCATCAAAAAGAGCTGTCCTATTGACCTCCCCTTTTCTGCAGAAGACAGAGGCAATACTGTGTGTCCACTGAGCTCAACTAGAGGCCTGGGCAGTGTTAGGTGTGGGAGAGGTCGCCCTCTGCAGGAGAACTGCTCGTATAACATAAACTGCTTCAGGGGGCACCAGTTTCAGGGCTACATAAATCACTCTGAGGGAAAGAAGTGGGAGTAGTGGGGTATCCTTCCTTACTGAAATGCATGTATTCAGACAAAGTGAAAGACAAAAGCAGTTATTATGGGCTGTAGGAACATGGGAGAGAGGGGATTATCTTAGTTAGACAGTTGAACTAATAATACTATACACAAACCAGAAACAGGCTTGATTTTTCTCAGGATGTAACTTGGGAGAGGAAGGTTTATATCAAAAAATAAAGAAATGAAGTTTAATTATGAAAATAAGAGAGAATCTTACAGTTGGAAATAAACTTAGAAGTGATTTAATATAAGCTGTCACCTGTTTAGGATCCCTTCTGTCCACAGCTGACTGAGGTGGCACTGAGATACAGTGACTACTGCCTGCAATTGCTGTGCCAAGGCAGAGGGCAGAGAATCCTGGGCAAGTTCAAAACCTTTTGGTAATCCATGAGACTTGCCGGAGAACACACCTTAGGCACAAAGACAGAATGGAGTCAGGAGCCAGAAAACTAAAAGCAATAACTGGCAAGGTGGGTGACAAGGTGGTCAGATAAAACCGCAGAGGTAAAATTCTGGAGATCAAGCTTAGCTTTTGGTGAGAACACACAAGGTGAGAACGTATAAGGGGTCTATACATTGAGGTGATTTTTGCTCTTTTTCTAAGCATTTCTAGGGACCAGGATCTTGTATTTCATCAGAAAAGGCTCTAAGTATTAAAACATTCTTCATTTCCCTGGGCTGCCATGTGTCTTTCTCCATGTTTTCCTTAGAGCTCTGTCCTCTGGAAAAAGAGTGAACAA